GGAACGCTGCAAAAGACCTAACAAACCAGGAAACCGTAGCCCGAGAAGAGCAGGAAACCATAGCCTGAGAAGAGCAGGACACGAAGCCAGTATAAGACTAAATCTAGATCACAAAACATTTTGCTATGAGGAGGGAAAAAAAAACCCGATGGTAAAAGGACCTACTAGATACGAGCTATGAACTAGACTACCAAAATGAATTAACAAACCTTCATTGCCTAAAAACAAGGCTAAGTCTTTGCCAGGGAGGTGACTCCATGAATAAAGGCAATTGACACAAAGCTAAGTGGCCTGAGTTCAAACCCCAGTACCCATGTAAAGAAGGCGAAAACGGACTCCAAAGTTGTTCGCTCTCCACACGAATGTTGCGACATGTGTCCACCCCCACATATCGTACACACACTAATAATAAAGTTTTCGAAAATTTAAAGGACAGAATGTTGTCCATTACAGGTACATTCTTTAGGTACCATTGGTTTGACAGTAAAAGAAAAGAGGTGGAGAAAATTTGAGAAGATCATGATTTTACTTTTAGTAACAGAATATAAAATAAACTGATGGTCAAAATAATAATAGCCACCCCAAGCTTCTTTTTAGCCAGCTTTCTAACACCTTAATAGCCGCAGTCTATTAGTTCAGTCCACTACTCAGAAAGAAAACAGACAACCATTCTTGATTTTCTTAGCATCACTTAAAAATTGATAGCAAGAAAAAACCAAAACAACAACAACAAACTCCATCATCTTAGCTTTTAGTTCAGTGCTGGGGGTAGAACAAAGGGCCCAGAGCACACGAGGCAAGTGCTCCAGCATCTGCTTCACCCAAGCCATCTTAGCTCTCTTTGAGGGGACCCAAGCAGGGTGAGTACATCCACAGCCAGGAAGGAGAGTCTCGCCAGCGTTCTTACAAAACTGAAACTCTATGTCCATGAAACAAAACCTTCCCATCCCTTCTCTCATATACACAGACATGTTCCCACATATATTGCATACATACATTCAATCCTATGCCACACTGCTTCAGTCATGTGTCAGTACCTCCCGGAAAGTTCACTGTCCCCCACCCCACCAGCCCACACACAAGAGCTGAGGACAGAACCCAGGGCCACTGAGCTGAATCCCCAACCAAAAGTTCATTAAAAAAAAAAAAAATCAAATTCCTAGGCCCTGTCCTAAGTTTACAGAATCTGAGATCAGTATTCTGTAATTGTACTAAAGTCTAAGGGAACTCAACAAATACTTGGGAAGTACTAGTCTTTTACCTATTTATTCCTCCAGCTTATACAATATAACATAGTTAGGCCTTCCATTTACAAGTCTTCCTAAACCTGTTCAAATAGAAATAACAAACATCATCAACTGTCAGAAAGAAAATCTAGACATAGCCAGGATTATTAATTGATAGTGACAACTTCTGGTTTATGCTTCCACTTGTTTTCAAAAGCTCTTAACTCAAAAATTGGTTGTTTCATAGCGTGAACTAGATTGCTTCTTAACTTTTTGACTAAGTTGTAGTTTAGACTAAACTAGAAACAACAGGAATACTTAGAATGTCTGTGGACCTTCCAATAGCTAATACCTTACATTCAGAAGAAGACCTTTCCTAACAAAGAATGTCTCCCAAGATCCCAATGTCTGTTTCTTAACTTCAGATTTACTACACGTTGCTTTAGCGGTATGGATGTGAAAGTATGGATGTGGCCATCTTAATTTTTTCCCAATGTAAAACAAAATACATCAAAGAGGCCCCCAGGAGCAAAACAATACAGACAGTCCTGGCTTGCAGAATTAAGAGTCTGATCTTCATTAGGCAGAGTACGGGCTAATGAAGGTAACATGCCTTCAAAAACAACACACGTGGGCTGGAGAGATGGCTCAGCGGTTAAGAGCACTGACTGCTTTTCCAGAGGTCCTGAGTTCAATTCCCAGCAACCACATGGTGGCTCACAACCATCCGTAATGAGATCTGAAGCCCTCTCCTGGCGTGCAGACATATGTAGAGGCAGGATGTTGTATTCATAATAAATAAATAAAATCTTAAAAAAAAAAACACACGCAGTAAATGAAAGGAAAGCATTAAGACTGCACTCCCCCTGTGACAGCACACTGTGATATTCCTTTGCATTTGGCATTGCCTCTTTGGAAGCTTGGTTAGGATGTTTTGGAGACAAGGAAATCAACCTACTAAAGGTGTAAACTGGAGACTAAAAACAGCCCTTGGCTGGGGGAGTAGGCTCAGTCTGTGAGAGGTTGCATCCCCTGCAGCTGGAAAGACTAGATTCATCCTTAAGGTGCCCTGGCTTCTTTCCATGGACCCTCATGAACCCACATCCATTCTACAACACAGGACAAATCTTTTAGCCCACACACAAAAATGTGACAGTGAACTTTAAAAGTATCAGTCTCAAAGACACATGGTAATTATTCATCAGCCACAAGGTATACAGGAAGCAATGCAATAGAAAGAATAATTCTTTGGAGGAACACTTAAGTGGAGGAGTTCATGGGAAGTTGGAGGGAAAAATCATGAGACTATCTTCATCTCTGGGATTACATATATATGTATACATATATATACACACATGCACATACATACATACACACACAGGGTTAGCATACAGGGAGGCCTCAAGACTCCTAGACTATGGACACCACACAACATTACCTAGTTTTGCTCATGAAATCTTTTATCTACAACAATACTGTCTTGAAATTCTCTTAATATGTGATCTTGGGCAAGAAATCTTAAAACTCACTGAGCTGTCATTTCCATATATGCACAAAACTTCCTAACACATATAGCAACACCAATGCACCCATCTTACAAAACAACTTGCAGAGCAAATGAGTAGTGTTTATCACGTGTGTGTGCTGCTAGCTGTGGATTCCCTCTGCAACTTAGTGCCAATGGTGAGTTTAGGACTAGAGAGTATTTTTCATGTAGAGAGTCAAAGGTAGAAAACTGAAGGGCATATTCCAAAGGTTTTCGTGAAAGCACAGGTGAATTCCAGCTCTCACAGTAGCACTAAGTTTATAAAGGCACTGCCATCTGCAGGCCACAGACATGGAAGGTCTGTAATGATTATTTAAAATGAAGTTTCAGAGCAAACCTTTGCTCATGGGACTTCTAAAGCCTTTCCAAAAGCTGTTTATTTTTAGCTTGGAGCACTGGTAGATGAGGCTCCACTTGCTTAAGTTCTGAAATGAACTCCTGAGTAAAATAAAATTCCCCTTTCTTCTTTGCACAGGATTGCTGTTTAGAAATTTGAGGACAATGAATGACCTTATGTTTAGTTCTACTCTGTTCATACCAAGGTCAGCCCCAAAGAATATAGACTTCTTGTCTTACACAGCCCCTGGTGGTGGAGTATCAGGAATGGGCCAAGTTGGCTTTTCTGAGTTTCCTTCTAGAAACTATAGTAAATCTGCTCTCACACTTTATAAAAACCAAATTTATGAAGAGATAACTTCATAATGGGACATGGAACAGCTGATATTTAGAAAAATGCCTGCCATTTAGTTTTTGCAATGTGGTTGGCTCATTATACGAGAAAAAGCAGTCTCTACATTTAGGTTGAGAGTATGCATGTCTGGGGTCCCAAAGAACATACGAAAGGTGAAAAGATGAGCTAAGGAAGAGACAAAAAGAAACCAAAAAGAAAGACATCCATGTTAACCATTAAACGATCTCCAATCCCCACAAGGCAAAACTAGGGTCTTGTTCCAAAAGGTCGATACAAAGTTACTTTGTCACACTCAAACCGATACACAAGTACAGTTGTCAAAAGCCCCAACAGGTTTGTAGAAATATCCTTTTAGGAACCATCAAGGTGGCTACCACAACTACAGCGCTATAAGAAACCAGAGGCACACCCAGTGTGTTTGAGGGATGATTCTTGCAGCTTCTGGGACTCCAGTTCTAAGTCAATAATGGCAACCTTTTACAACGAGAATAATTATCATCCCGAAGATCCCAGGGCATTTCAATGGGATCTGGAATGCCGCAGGGGAAAAAAATTCTACATACAGTGAAAGCCACAACACCACAATTAACCCCGTACTCCGAGGGCAGTGGTTCCCAAAGCCTGGAGCGCACAACTTCAGGAGGAACAAGTACACACAGTGTTTATTTTAATAGACAGGTATTTATTTTCTTTAATGAGCGTTAGAAAAATAACTGGCTTTCCATTATACGGCTTGGGGTTGAAGTTTCCGCCTTAAACAAATGTATTGGGGGAGAGGGAATCAGAGTCAGTTTTAAGAAAAACATTTAACATTTGGTAAACAGTACAGACGGTAGGCGGATTGTCGAGAGGGACGGAAGCTGGGGAGACCCGGTCCTAAGCACAGCCCCTGGCCCGCTACCGTGGAGCGGGAAGGGCCCAGTGCTAGGGCCCTGGGAAGCCAGTAGGTTCTGGCGCCGAGTCCGTGCGAACCTCGGGTATGGGTTTCTCTCGCCCGGTTATCCAAGCCCAGGGTGCACGTCCATATAATGGAGGAGGTGTCACACAGGCTGACATCTCGAGAATGCGCCCGGGGCGACAGCTCGCCCCAGGTTGACTGGCGTGGGGACAGCGCCGCCGAGACCGGTATTCGCCGCCCGGGTTCGAATCACGCCAGCGCCACTGACTCGCTGAGCCCCTCTCGTTCCCTCCCTGCCCCCTCCCCGGGCGAGCGACTTCACAGACTGGCGCTCAGGGCGTGCGCCATCCTACAAAGACGAGTCAGCGGCTGCGACCGACGCGGGACGCGATGCCCACCTCAGCCCACAGTCGCTCGCCAACTGGGCTCGGCCAGATCCGGGCCAGGGTGCGACCCGAGCCGGAGGCAGCCGCGCCCCGCACCGGGCATGCGCAGCCTCGCGCGCGCGCGCGCGCGCCCGGAGAAGAGGCCACGGCCGCGCGTCGAACGGACCCTCCCGCCACAGCGGGCCCCCCACCCCCAACGGCCTGCCCATCAGTCCTACGCCTCGGCGGACGGCCACCGCTTCCCGGCACTCACCGCTACCAGCGCGGCCGCCTCCCCGCCGCTTCTCCGCCTCAGACCCGCCGCTACCGCCTCGGCCTCAGCCCACCTGCCCGCCGTAGGACAAAGGCGCCACCAACCGACCAGCGCGGGCACGAGGCAATGGCGGCCGGGGCGGAGTGTGGAGGTGGTGGGGGCAGAGGGCGCGCACGCAGCGGCGGCCACGGCAGTGACGTAAAGAGCGTGCGGATTTACGGCAGGGCTGAGTTGAGGCGTCCATCTCCTTGGCGACGAGGGCGAGGAAGTGGTGATGGGGCGGCGGTTGAGAACGCCGGCGGTTGCCTAGTAACGGGGTCTCTGTTGAGTACCGGCTCCACGCCTTCGCCTCTTCCGTCTGGTTTTTTTTTCCCCCCTGCTGTTTCCAGAGCCCTTTCCCTCCCTGGTAACTGGACAAATAGAACATTGAAGTCCCCCCAATACTTTCAGCCCTGTAAAACTTAGAGCCCTAAGACACCCAAGCACCTGTAGATCTGTCTACTGGAGAGTGTGCAGTCTCCAAGGCAGATCTCAAGGAACAAAGAGATCAGAGAGGCGAAGAAAAAGCTGTATTTAAATTTACATTTAAATAGGTTGTGAATCCTTTTCCTTTCACTGACGAGAGGCAAAAGGCTCCTAGAGAGACAGTCGCGGTTCTTCTAGAGTTATTTCTTTGAGGAATATTCAAGGTCAAAAACAAATCCCCTACAACATAACTGTCGACCGTGAAGCATGTAAAAACGTTGCTTTTCTTATTTAATCTAGAGTTTGTCGCAGGGAATGGAATTTGCTCACACAGTTGTAAATGCTCTCTATTAAAGCTATGACTACATGAATCGCCTCAGGGAACTCCTCGGATGCCATCGGGTCTCGTTTCGGTTTTTTCCGCCCTTGAATAGTACAGATGAAGTAAAATGGTGGCTGTGGAATTTGAACATCGAGAGCTCCAGTTTCTTTGAACATCATTTCCTGTGTTCTCTCTGTTCATTGAACAAACTCGCTGTTTGTTGTATTTCTGCTACAAAGTCCTCAAAACTTGGCTGGTGAGGTGGTTCTGGGGGCAAAGGGGCATGTTACCAAGACAAGTTCAGTCCCGAGAATGTGTGCATGCACGCGTGCGTGCACATACACACACACACACACGTACTAAAAATAAATAAAACAAAAAGCCATCTTTAATCCCAGCACTCAGGAGGCAGAAGCAGGCAGATCACTATGCAATTAAGGCCTGTTTCAAAGTTTTTCTTTTTAATTATAAAATCATTCTGTGACTTGTTACGTACTTACTTGCTAGGCACCCTCGTTAGCAAATAGAGACCCTTTTCTGTCCTTTTGGAAAGTAGAGATGCGTTAGAACAGGTTAAGAAATCACACTAGAGTGTGTAGCTGCACATGGAGGCGTGTGTTGGTGTTCTCAGCTGCAGCCTAACCTTACAGGTGAAATAGTTGTAAAAATGGTAAGATTGCATGAAAGCAAAGATCAAAACAGAATGTCTGTCAGATAGGTAGCCCACAGACACTCATCTTTTCTTCTCTAAAATAGTTCCTAAGGCATGGGGCTGGAGAGATGGCTCAGCAGTTGAGAGTGTTTGCTACTCTTGCAGAGAGCCGGGGTTGGGTTCCCAGCACCTGTATGTTAGCTCACCTGTCTGTGATTCTATTTCCAGGAGATCCAATACCCAATTCTTGCCTATGTGGGCACCAGGCGCACATGCAGTGCACAGACATGCATTTAGGCAACACACTCAGACACATAAATTAAAGATAAATATTTGAAGTACATCCTAAGTTACAAACATTGAAGAAGAATCTTGCCAGTCAGTTAACTAACTAGACTAAAGCATGGGCTGGGGCGTGGCACAGCTGCCAGAGTGCTTGCTTACCTTGTAGCAAGCACGGCAGTGCATCTCCAGCTCGACACCAACTGGTGTGGTCTTGCAAGCCTGTGCCCCAGCTCTCAGGAGGTGAAGGAAGGAGGACCAGACGTCCATGACCATCCTCTACTGAACAGTGAGTTGGAGGCCAGCCTGGGCAACATAAGCTAGAGGCAAAAAATACTTGATTTGAGAGGTGTTTTGTTATGGGGAGCTCCCAACCCGTTAGGGAACAGGTGGTGCACCACCACTGCTCAGATGTGTGAGCGATTGGTGTTGTGGACACAGGCTAGTTCCCCTAACTCCCTGAGGAACCTCTAGTTGGCGTTCTGAAACAGCTGTACTAGCCCACATCCCCACCAGCACTGCCCTCTGTGCATCTTCACTTGTTACGTTTTGTCTTTGCTTCTGAAGCCTTGCTCCTAGAAGTGGCCCAGGCTGGCCTCCACCTTGCGGTGATCTTTGTGCATCAGTCACCAAAATGTTCATCAGTCAGTGTTTTCTTCTAAGTGCCCTTTCGTCAGAACGCACTGGAACATTATGTGTATACAGGAACATTGTCCGGGCAAAGGGATGAATCTCTCTTATATGCAGTTCTTAACAGGGCTCACAGGAGCTAATAGAAGTCAAAATGGTCCACATTTCTTAACATTGGCCTTAGTGGGATTCCTGGGCCATGGAACTGTCTGACAGAGGTGAGGAGACCCCATGGAGACTGGGGCGGAAGGAGCAGCAGCCTCACTCAGCTGGCTGCACAGACTAATGGCCTGCCTGCCTGTGCTGCCCTTAGGGTGGCAACCGGGTGACTCTAGTGAGTAACATCTCCATTGCTTTGAATTCCTTGGTTCAAGTTAACAGAATTTGCCATTTGTGAAGACATGGTGAATGAGAACACAAGCTATGGGATCAGAATGGTCCACGTGCACCTCTCAGCCAAGCAAACAAGTTTGTTCATGAACCTTTCCTGAACTCATCTGTAAACAGGGAGCAAGAGTTTGCATGTTACAGTCAGCTGAAATAAGCGTAAAAATGCCATCGTATGCATGCATCCTACGTATAGCTCTCTGAATCAGGCCTGGGCCATTAATGGATTCATTAAGTCCCAGTTATCATCTGCTGTCACTTCCTGTTATGACATCACAGTTTGTGACTCTCCATAGATCTGTTTGGGCTGTGTTTTTAGGCCATTGCTAGAAAGGTCCTTAGGTTTTCATGTCCTACTCTGATCATAGCTGGCATAACAGTCACCTGTGTCTGATCCGTTGAACTTTGGACAAGGGGAGGGGACTGTGCTGCAGTGACGAGAATGAAGCACCTGCTTAGTCCCAGCAAAGCTAATAGCACCTCCCCCCCCAAGCAAAGCTTTGCAAGCAAAGTGGATGAAACTAGGCCGTAGCTAGTTGGCACATTCTGATGTATGTCTAAAGGGCTGGAGTAGGGGACAGCTGATTGGTCACCTTTAAGTGCTTCACAGTCTTTAGGGACCTTCCTTGGCAGGGTCACCTGGTGAGGAAGAGTCTGGTGTCTGGTCACACCCCTATGTCAGTATAGCTTTGTACTACTTTGATAGAACTACTTTGGCTGCCAAAGATGCCCATGCCCTCATTTCTGGAACTTGCGAATCTGTCTCCCTCCATGGTAACACGGGTGATGCCTTTGGTTTGGATATAGGCAATATCCCAGGGTTGTCTGGGTAGGCCCATGAATTGCTCAGGTTCTTATAAAGGGAGGTGGGGACCAGAGTCACAGAAGGAAGCATGCTTCCTAGCAGAGGAGAGACAGGGAGAAGGCAGAAGAGAGAGATGGGCGGTGATGGGGCGGGGCGAAAGGGAGGTGTGATGGCTTATATGTGAAATGTTCCTCACAAGCCGTGTGTTTGAAGGCTTGGTTCCCAGCTGGTGGTGCTGTATGGAAACTCTGGGGAGAAAGGGTCTAGATGGAACCTTTCAAGTTCAAATCCGCCAAAATCCGAAAAGCAGAAGCCTCACACTCCTACTGCTGCCATCACAAATTCTCCCCTGTGATGGACTGAGATCCCTGTAACCACGAGCTGCAACCCCCCCCCAGGTGCTTCTCTCAGGCATGTTCTGGGGGAGGGGGAAAGAGAGAGAGGAGTGGGGTATTGGTTGGTCCTAGGAAGCAAGCAGCTTCTAGAAGCTAAAAGAGGCAAGGTGATAGGTGTCCCCACAAACCTCACAAGAACAAACACAGCCCTTCTAATATTTTTAATTTTAATTTTGTTTTATTCACATTGGTGTTTTGAGGCTGTTAGATTACCTGAACCTGGAGTTACAGAGGTTGTAAACTGCCACGTTGAGTACTGGGTATTGAACTCAGGACCTCTGGAAGAACAACCAGTGCTCTTAACCACTGAGCCCCTGAATTTTGTTTTAACTTTAGACTTCATTATCTGGAGAAAACATGATATATTTTTCTATAAGTATTAATATGACTTACTTCTTCCCCTTTAATAATTAAATATTTCATTAAAATTGATTTTGACACACCAGAGGTCAGTTTAATTAGATTTCCTCTCTTCTCTCCTTAATCTAACACCAAATAACACTTCAAATAATTTTTGTTATGTTCTTCTTTTTGGTCAGGGGCTGTTTCAAGACAGGGTTTCTCTGTGTAGCATTGGCTGTCCTGGAATTGTGGCCTTGAACACACAGAGATCTGCCTGCCTCTGCCTCCTGAGTGTTGGGATTAAAGATGTGTGCCATTACCTCTCAGAGGTTCGTGTTCATTTTTGAGACACCATTTTCTGTACTCTTGATTGGCTTTGAATTCTCCATGAAGCCAAGGATGGCTTTGAACTCTTGATTCTTCTGCCTCTATTCTGTGGGTGCCAGGGCTATAGATATACACCACCATGCTTAGCTTACCCTGAACCAATTTTACCTTTCTTCTTTACCATATAATATTCTATTCTATAAGAAGGATTAAGTTCAGGGCTATCCACTGTTACAGTAATGTCTGTGCTTGATTGCGATTACATATAATGGGATGTGTTTATCTGTAGAACCATGTGAAATGTACTTGTGAAACATTAAAAGAATTACCATTAATAAGAATCTATGCTATTCAGATGACCAAGTTAATCCATTCAATGCTCTGACATCAGAAATTCTCAGAAGAGCCAGCTCCCCATTTGTCTCTGTACTGGGACATGTAAAAAGAGTATAATAAGGTGGGCAGTGGTGATGCACGCCTTTAATCCCAGCACTTGGGAGGCAGAGGCAGGCAGATCTCTGTGGGTCCAG